TAGCATCTGGTTAGCTAGCTGCACTAACGGACATAAGGAGCTGTTTGTTCCACAAGAAGCTGGAGGAGAGTCCTCTCCTCTCAGACTGAGAGACTCAGGTGAGCTAAAGGACTCTCTCAGTGTTTAGATACATAACTTTAGTCTAAGTTATCTCAGTGGGTCTCAAACGGTTTGGTCACAAATTATTCAAAAGATTATTTCCGCGGCACACCTTCATACGATCATTATAGATATAAAAGAAATAAGAGAATAAAGGAAAAACAGTTATGAAATACTATATGGCAGTAAAACAAGAATAGAGTTTAAAAGGGTAGTGATTAGTAAAACATCCATAAAGAAAAAGTACATCTGTTTACAGTTCTGCTTCATATGGGTGTTGAGAGAGGTATCCATAGATCTCTTCATTTTGCTCTCAAAGTGCATTTGATTATCGAGCCTTCATTGTAACAGTCGCGGGTGTACTGTGTGTGTGCGTGTGGGGAGTGTTGCAGTAAAAAATTCCACTGTAGCGCCGCGGCCGCCGCCACTGTGGGCTAAGCCCCGAATGTTTTCAGGTCCAGGCGACGCCCCTGGGTACACACATATTGATAGATCTCTTGTTGAGGAACCTATGACCCAAGTTTGTTATCATTGCATAACTACACCGTAGTTGTGTATATGATATTTCAATAAACCTTTGAAAATCTTGAAATCTTGAAGGGATGTGCAAAATAGCCATTATATACAGTTTTTGATGAACAATTAGAGAATAACGAGTAATGAATATGCTTTATAGGGATCTGCAGATACATTTTTTTAAACGGCATCGTGTAAGTTGCGCTGACAGGCGACAGAGGTCCACAGTTGCCCCGCAGCGAGGCTCCCCCCGCCCTCCCGTAGACAGTCACTTCATAACACCAAAGATGGATCGCGGTAAACGCTCTAAAGTGAGGCTCCACTACACTAAAAAATTAAAAGACAAGGCACAGTGTAATGCCTGTTAATAGCTTGCCACAGGCATAGCTCAGTTAAAATAAAGCACAGCTATTATATTTTTTTTATTTGTAAAAATGTCATTTAAAGGTGGGGTAGGTAAGTTTGAGAAACCGGCTCGAGATACACTTTTTGTTATATTCCATGGAATGCTCTTAACATCCCGATAGCAATGAATATCTTAAGTGCTTTCACAAAAAATCCATAAAAAAAAGTCATCTGTGGAAGCCGTAGTACTGTAAAAAGCACGACCAATCATTTTAGCCGGCCCGGCTAAAATAACTGGATGGCCTACCTGCCTGTCAGCCTTCCATCTGTTCACAAACTTATCTCGTGCCCTCATTGGTCATGTGCGCATTCGTGTGTGTTGGAGGAGGGGCTCTGTAAGGAAGTGGCAGATTTTCTCCGGTTGTGTATTTTCAAATTCTAGCGCACTCAAGCCGGTTTCTCAAACTTACCTCCCCTACCTTAAAAGCTTAAAAGAATAAAGATATTTTTGTTATCTAAACGTTTGACCTCTTTCTTTTACAATTTTGGAATCGAAACGGGGAATCGATAAGAACCGGAATCGATAAGAACCGGAATCGGAATCGATACATTTCAAACGATACCCATCCCTACTCTTATTGCACTATTTAACTTTTTACTATTTTACTATTTTTCTTTTTGTATTTACTTGCACTATTTTTTCTGTGTATCTGTTTTATTGTGTTGCACTGTTGGAGGAGCCTGTGACCTAAGGGGGGGGGGAGGGGGTAGGACACGAAGCACATGGTGTAGTCCCAAACGATAGCTGAGGATTCTGGGTAGTGTAGTGTCTTCTGCCATCCTAAACTCCGAAAAAATATTTCTTTCTCCGAATCGAAGGGGAAAAATACAAAAGCATTGCACACAATTTAAACCAATCAATGTTGTGTAATTAACAAGGATAATCTGGTGTTTTTGAGTTGATGAGTAGTGCAGATATCACTGTCAAATCAATCGACAGTAAGGAGAATACTTACTTCCGGGTGTAAAATTCTCCATTATCCAATGGGAATGGACGCTCACATTGCCTTTAAACAGCCGCCGACATAAACGGATGCGGTACTTCCATGAGCGTCAAATCCTGCCGCAGAAGGGAATACATTGCAATCAGTTGAAAGCTCTTTGCGTCCGTTTATGAAGCTGAAGGAGCCTCGGCGCGTCCCAACTGCACGCCACAGGACCCTGACCAAGCGTCGCTCCTGGACGTTTAGGGAGTGAGAGTGTGTTGCAATAACAGGGGTGTCCAAACTTTTTTTACAGACGGCAAGTAGTATATTGCCTCATAAGTTTAGTTATAAGTTTGCAAAATTAATCAAATGTAGGTAAATTATGCTTGATACTTGATAATGATTTAAGAAAAAAACAGTCTATATCACATTTATTTTGTTGGTAGCTCATCCCCCAAAACAGAAGCCTCAGTTTGATTCAGTAAGAAATATGAAGGGTATATTTCAAGCTTGTTAGGTAAATAAGTTATTGGGCCTTTTTTCTTATCAACTAAGATTTGTTTGAATTGACTGAATATATTTGAAAAGTGGGCTTATTAACACATGAATACTACTGTGTAATATGTTTTTACATATATATTTATGAAGTACAATATAAGACAAGTAAAAGTTTCATTTGTGGGCCATATTCCATTATACTTGAATTAGCTGAGGGCCGATTCAAAATGGTCAGCAGGCCGCATTTGGCCCCCAGGCCGTGGTTTGGACACCCCTGCTCTATAATAATTCACTCAGATTTTATTCACAGTTATACTGTATTTTGGTTGGGGCTCAACATGTCTGTAAGGTGAGTAAACTACATGCTGGAGGAATAACTGTCCCACGGCGCATTGCAAAACCTAAGCCACCCAAAGATATGTCCAAGACACAACAAACAACTACTGGAGACCAAAAGAGAAACAAAAGACTAGAGTCTCTGAAGAGGCAAAACAACTAGAAATAAATGCATAATGACACAAAGAAAAATAATTGCAAAACCACATTGACTAACCACACAGCATTTGGAGTGGGGACCTTTAAATTCTGCCCAAGAATCCGTCTGCGAGCTCAGAGGACGCTCTGCAGCTCCATTAGTTTCATTATTGTCTTCTCTCTTCATTCTCTTCCAGAGCATCAAGGTGTCATGGCAGCCGCCCCCCCGCAGCGCCCAGAACGGCATCATCTCCGCCTACAAGATCAAATACAGAAAGACCGGTCGCCGTGGAGACCAAGAGGCCATCGAACCAAACAACTTTTGGTACCTGTTCACAGGTGGGACTTTAGAATGCGAAACATTTAGAATATTACCAGACTTATCATTTCAAATGGGAACTTATTTTCATTTTGAAATACATTTGTGAAACTAGAACCTTGTTTTTTATGCTGAGTCTCAAAGTTTGGACAAAACTACCAAAAAAAAGACAAGGGTTCTTAAAATCTTCCTGTACTGAACCAGCATGTTGTTTAGTGTGTGCATGTAAATGTGTGTGTTGGTGGGTAAGACAGTGGATTTGTCTCAAGTTGTGTCTGGCTTGTTTTTAGCTGCATTTGAAAAAAATCCACATATTCACAAGTGTGTGTGTGTGTGTGTGTGTGTGTGTGTGTGTGTGTGTGTGTGTGTGTGTGTGTGTGTGTGTGTGTGTGTGTGTGTGTGTGTGTGTATGTGTGTGTGTGTGTGTGTGTGTGTGTGTGTGTGTGTGTGTGTGTGTGTGTGTGTGTAAACTGCCACCAGCTATTATCTCAATTTGAGCTTTGCAGGATTTGAATGAAACTGATCTTCCTTTTCATTATTTTCCACTGATGGCTATCTTCAGCTGTCTGTCCACACAGGAACTCATTACCCAGTGGCAGGTGTTGTGGTGTGTGTGTGTGTGTGTGTGTGTGTGTGTGTGTGTGTGTGTGTGTGTGTGTGTGTGTGTGTGTGTGTGTGTGTGTGTGTGTGTGTGTGTGTGTGTGTGTGTGTCCGCATCAAGGGCGCCAGAAGTGGGGGGGCCAGGGGGCCATGGGCCCCCCCACTTTTGAGCCCTGCCCTACATTTTCGCAGCGGCGGATGCCGCGGAACACTGTACAAATCCCGTTTCAATAATTCCCCTCTACTCTAAAGTCGCATCTAAAACGCGTTCTGATCTAGCTGTGTATATTTTGTTATTTTTGATTGTTATATTCAATCTCATTAGCTACAGGCATTTTTTAAGCTTGTAAAGGGAAGATGACAGCTCTCACTCGCCACTCTGCTGTTCCACAGCGCCGCTTCCCCTCCCTCTGCTGAAATTAAGAATGTAAGGCGTATAGTAATCATATATAACATGGCAGGGTCCGTTACAGTTTGTTTGTATCAAAATAATAAGTTTGATTTCAAATAAACAAAGTCTTGGCTTTCAGAATATTAAACTTGTTTCGGCAAATTCAGATGATAAATACAACTTTGAAAGCTTGTAACGGCATAATTACAAGCGGAGACCGAAGTAACGTAACGTCACAGCAGGCATAACAACAGCCGGTGTTTCTCGTGAGTGTTTTCCCCGGGAAACAAACACAATACACACACAAACGCAAAAATACACAAACACACACACGTATATACACACACTCGCGGGCTTCCATTAATCCAAACGAAAATATCTTCCCTCCGTTACCCCTAGATTCCACCGGGTCCGTCTGCGGTTACGAGCGCGTTACGGGCGCGTTACGGGCGCGTTACGGGCGCGTTACGGGCGCGTTACGGGCGTGTTACGGCTGCGCCGCGGTGCTCATGGCGATTGCGGCCACTCTAGTCAATGGGTGCTATTCCACCACACGCGGCGCGTTACGGCTCAGAAGCGTCCCAGAAGCGTCCCAGAAGCGTCTCGGCGCAGGGCTCCTCTAAAATTAGGATGAATCCTATTTTTGACGCGGCGCAGCCGTAACGTAAGGTCGGGCAGGCAGGAAGTGGAATGTTCAGAGCATATAGCATATATATATATATATATATATATATATACACACACACAAACTAATTTTGCAGACCCTATCCCTCCGTAGTATTTCAAGTAGGAGGAGAAATGCCAGCGTTCTCCTCCGGTTTACAGGCACTGTGTAAATTATATATATAGAATAATTATGATGATGAATGCATTTTTTTACCACTAAAATACAGCAACACACCTTTGATTCATGTCGTTTATAACTGGAATATTACAGTTATTATTAACAAATCAAATCAACAAAAACTGCGAGCCGGCAGGCAAGACGCTCCGCTTCTGAAATGCTTCTGAAACGCGCCTGGTAGGGTATGACGGCGGAGGAGGCCGGACCAAAACTGCGGCGCAGCCGTAACGCGGCGCAGACGGACCCGGTGGAATCTAGGGGTTAGAGGAGCCCTGCGCCGAGGCGCTTCTGGGACGCTTCTGAGCCGTAACGCGCCGCGTGTGGTGGAATAGCACCCATTGACTAGAGTGGCCGCGATCGCCGTGAGCACCGCGGCGCAGCCGTAACGCTCCCGTAACGCGCCCGTAACGCGCCCGTAACGCGCCCGTAACGCGCCGCAGACGGACCCGGTGGAATCTAGGGGTTAGGTAAAATAAAGCAGGCAGACATAAGAGGAAGAATATGTACATTTTAACCCAATCAAATAGGACATTGTCACACCATTCAAATGTATCCATGTAAATTACAACCAATAAAAAAGCTTAGATTTGTTTATTTGTTACGTTGTTTACTTTATTTAGTGGGAATGCTGATACAGCATTCCCACTAAATAACGAAATAAACAAAAAGTTTATTATTATTCCGTCCAATTATTTTGTCCGTCTTCTCCTCCCACATTCAACATCGCAGAAACTCCGTTCAAACATCAAAACGTTCATCTCGGTCGGGAATCGACTGCTATTACTTTTATCATTCATAACTTTCATAATTCCAGAGATACGTCCCATAATACATCACATTTTTAACCAATGGAGAAATTCTTCAGACTTCAACAAATCTTCATGCGACTTCAACTGCTAACTGTTCATTCATACTTTCACTCAGAAACCTCATTCCAACTTTAAATTGTTACACATCTTTCTGACATTATTCGTGTAACACAACCTTTAAATCTGATTCTTACTTTTAGAGATATTAAACATTGTTCAGACCTTGGTAAAGAGGCTTTCTTCAGATTTTAACATTAACTAGAGTGCGTGATGTCAGAGCTAGAGGGTAAGAAATCTTGAAATGTGCCTTCATATTTTTTTTTAAAACTGCCATAATTCCCAAACCCTACATTCCTGAGACATCATTTTTCATGACAAACGTAGGAAAACATCTCGTAGCTTGAAAAATGACAAATAATTAAACAAAATGCCTCTTGAGGGCATGAAGTGACAAAAACGTTCAACATGTCTCCATTAAAGCCCATTGTAATTTCAGGCAGATATTTCCTCACAGCAGCAGCCGCACACCTTTAGTTAAACTGCCAAAAAGGCCACATTATTAACCCGAAAGTACACAAAACTTACACTTCAGATACTCAACTTCCTTGACATGCTTCACGTTTTGAAATTTCACAGATATCTGTTATCGTTCTTCCACAAAACGTTCACATGTAAGTGGTTTATCTGTCATTTAGAACAATGCAAACCTTTGATCTCTTCATAGCTCGTTAGCTCAACTATAAACACCTGTGTAATGGAACACGATGATGTCATCACTCCAACTGACAGCAGTCAGTTCTAACTGTTCATTTCATACTCACACACTCTCTCTCTCTCTCTCTCTCTCTCTCTCTCTCTCTCTCTCTCTCTCTCTCTCTCTCTCTCTCTCTCTCTCTCTCTCTCTCTCTCTGCCACACCGGTCCATGCCTCAACAGCTCTACGCCAAATCTGAGATCTCACCATATGCCGTTTCCATGGAAACATAAAACACGATGTCCCTTTAACTCTATGAAAATGTTCAAAAAGTGCTCAAAATTCACATGTGTGCTAACAGTCCAGCCGTGAAGACATCTACGAGACAGTTTTGAGATTTCTTCAAATGCCGTTGCCATGGCAACACAATGCTCGCCATGAAACACGATGGCGCTGTAACTCCAATGGACACGGTCCGATCGTCCCCAATCTTCACTTGTATATCACCGGTCCATGCCTCGTACCGGTACAGCTCTAGGCCAAATCTGAGATCTCACCATAGGCTGTTTCCATGGAAACGCATCCCTCGCCATAAAACACGATGTTGTCGTGATACCTATGCAAATGATCCAAACACCACCAGACTTCAGATGACAGTTAATGGTCCAGCCCTCAACATGTCTATATACCATTAGTGAGTTTTCCTCAAAAGCTGTTGCCATGGCAACGCATCCCTTGCAATAAAACACGATATTGCTATAACTCCTATGAAAATTGTCAAAAAGTGCTCAAACTTCACATGTGTGCTAACAGTCCAGCCGTGAAGACATCTACGGGACATGCCGTTGCCATGGCAACACAATGCCCGCCATGAAACACGGTTTTCTCATAACTTCAGTGAAAATGCTCCAAATGGCCCAAAACTTCAAAGGTTTGGTAACGATGCAGCCATCAACGCATCTAAGCGTATTATGGGATGTCATCAAATGCCGTTGGCATGGCGACAGATCATTCGCCATCAAGTTAGTTCAAAAGTTTGCATTTCAAATATTCTGCTGCTTTTCCAAGCCTTTTTACTTTCTTTTCTTCTCTCATCACACAGTGTTCATGTATCATTTCAATCTAAATTATTCACTTTCTTCTTACACATTACATTTCGGCATAGCAGTTTAGCGTCAGCTTTTCAGCATAAAGCATTCCCACTAGCAATTTCTTCAGGAATTGCATTCTCTAGTTTGTTACGTTGTTCTGTGTGTGTCAGCCGTTAACCAGATAGAAAGAATAGATACACTTGCAAACAAGTCAGAAGAACCAGCGAAGAAGAAAACTAAATACAGTCAATCTAAACTTACATTTAACAACTGGAAGGTCACATCCCTGACATCCACTTCTCCGGAGCCTGGACCTTCATCAATCATAGAAGAACCAGCGAAGCCAGATAAACCCAAAAGCAGCAGCTCTGCGGCCGCAGAGACTGTCAAAACCGCCGCCGCCGCCACCCCCACCGCCGTCGTTGAACCGAAACAGGCTGGTTCCGACTGCATGGAGGTTTGTTGTCGGGACATTCAGGCGGGTAAAGCTGTACAGCTAACTGTCGAAAAAAAGGAGACCGCTAGATCGTCTGGGCAAAGAGAAAGGTACTTCAACGCAGAATGGTACAAAAACAGAGAGTGGTTAATTATTTGCAAAACCACTAAACGGGCCTTCTGTGAAATATGCAGATTTGCTGCTGTCAAACGGCTTGTAACTTTCTCAAAATGTGGAGATGATAGCTTTGTTAATACCGGAGTTAATAACTGGAAAAAGTGCCCAAGCCTCCTGGACAGTTGTCTCTGACTCTCACAATTAAAGATGTTTGGAGTTTTATTTGAGTTATTAATTTAAATGTTTTGTCAAAGAGATCCTGATTTGAAACCGTTGTTACATACAGTTACGGCATTTCCTGTATCTGCCGGAGAGAGGGGAGGCCGTCCCAAAGCTTGCTGCTGTATTTACTCCCTCCATCTGACAGGAGGGAGCCTCATGTGTCACTCCATGGAGTTCACTCCGTCACGGAGGGGGAGTGTGTAGGGCGTGGTTTGGGATTGGGCCATACACACGCACTTTTTTGGCCCCCCCACTTCTAAAATGAATCCGGCGCGCCTGGTCCGCATCTGTAGCCAGGGCCGTATCCAGGATTTCCTAAATACCGAGGTCCAAACATGTTAGGGGGGTTCGGGGGATACCCCCCGAGATTTTGGGGATTTTCATGATCTAGTTAGGTGCTTTTTAAGTCCTGTGGGGGGTCACAAATTGGATAATATATTGATTTTAAACCATGTCAGTGGGCTGCAGCATCAATTATTTTTGAAAGTGTAATGCATAAGAATCAGTTGATTGTTACTATTAATAATCTGGACATGCAGAAGAGGCTAAAATGATCACACAACATTGTCAACATTCATTTTCCATGTCTCTCTCCTTTCCATAACCTGCAGCCTCTCTTCCATCTTCTTTAGTCTCTCTGTCTTCTTCCTGTTCATTACTCTCTCTGTCCTCTACTCTTTCTCTTTGTTCAATCTCTCCCTCGTTGTTCACTTTTTGCTCCTTCTCACTTGTCGCTCCTGCCAGTGAATTAAAAGCAACTCAGCAATTTAGTTCATTTCACTTGTTTGTTTGCATTATTTTTTTTATTTAAATCTGTTGTGTTTGATTCTCAAAAGAGAACAAAAATGTAAGCAAAATGTGTTTTATATAATTGTATGTTATTATGACATCATAACTGCATAGATAGATAGATAGATAGATAGATAGATAGATAGATAGATAGATAGATAGATAGATAGATAGATAGATAGATAGATAGATAGATAGATAGATAGATAGATAGATGGATGGATAGATAGATAGATGGATAGATAGATGGATAGATAGATAGATAGATAGATGGGGTTATTAAGCCTACATTCTTTTGTGTGACTGAACCTGCAGTTCCTCCCTGACTTCCATCACTTTCTCTCTCTCTCTTTCTCTCTGTCCTGTCTCTTCCTTACCAAAGCTGAGCTTCGACTGGCGTAGTCTTTTCATTATATCTGAGTCAGTGTAAAAAGAAAACAATACAATGTTATATCTTCAATGTTTTACTCAAATTTAAATGAAAGAAAAGCATTACAACGTTTGTTAAAAGGTAATCCTTCTGACATTGGATGAATGTAATTAACTTTAGCTCTCTAGCTAGTTTATTCACTCAATTTAAACCAAAGTATAGCCTATAGCTGCAATATAAGTTAGTGTGCATGTTGTCGGACGTCCACTGACTAACGTAGAGCGTTCACACAGGATCTGCTGGTCATATGATGTCCTGATGAACAGGAACACAAGCAGCCCGCTGGACTCAGATCTCGAGATACCTCATCACTCCTCCGCTGCTCCGATACAAGTCTGGGCTGCGGTGGTTTGTTGATATATGTCGTCTTCTTCTGTTTGCTTTAATCAAGGCTACGTAGTTATGCAGCGCCCCCATCGGCAGTAAATGGAAGTACTACAAAGAACCCCGTTTAGTGCAATTATTTCACAAGTTTTGTATACTCTGGGTGTTTCTCAATCGCGAGTACGCTTGCTTGGTAGCACATGTCTGCCGAGCATCTTGCTTCAGAAGCGAGGCAAGAATACTTCCTGGCATTCGGAAAACAAAGAGTGGAACAGGCTAGCAAGTGTGCAGGTGTGCGTCATATGAGAGGCCCCGCCTTACATCTTCCGCCACAGATTTGGGGAAATTGGTCCGTGCGCAAAGCATTGTGGGGATTTTAAGACCGCGGAGTCTACTCATGTGCAGCCTCGATATTTCTCCAAACGGAGTACGCCGGGCTCGGTAGATTTCCAAGTATGCTGGAGATTGGAACAGTACTTCGGCGGCACTCGATGACGTAGTATGCTTGAAATAGTGGCTCTGCAGCAGCTTTACTCGCGATTGAGAAACACCCACTGTCACTACCCGATCTGTCCCCCTGCCCGATCTGTACTGCGCATGTGCGAGATGGTCCGCCATATTTGACAACTACATACGGCAACTCTGCTAGGACACTTGACACAGTGGCTTTTGGCAAAGCAGAAAAAGAACCGAGAGAGATTATTGTTATTACAACGTGACTTCACTATTATTTAACAACTCTTTTTATTGGGTTCTTTTATTTGGGGTTAAATACATTGTCAGAATAAGTGAGAAATGGATTTAACTTCTGTTAGACAGCTATCATACTGAATACATATTTACTGTGAATGTATGCAAAAATGTATGGCATATAGCTGTCTAACAGAAGTTAAATCCATGTCTCACTTATTCTGACAATGTATTTAACCCCAAATAAAAGAACCCAATAAAAAGAGTTGTTAAATAATAGTGAAGTCATGTTGTAATAACAATAATCTCTCTCGGTTCTTTTTCTGCTTTGCCAAAAGCCACTGTGTCAAGTGTCCTAGTAGAGTTGCCGTATGTAGTTGTCCAATATGGCGGACCATCTCGCACATGCGCAGTACTGATCGGGCAGGGCTGCAGATCGGGTAGTGACATACACAGCTCGAAATATATTACCGAGGTCCGGACCTCGGTGACCTCAATGGTGGATACGGCCATGTCTGTAGCCTGTTATTGTCTCATTATACCGCACTGTCAATTCATTCAAAGTAAATATATAAGTGGTCATGAACACATCTGTCCATCAGACAGAGGGCATCTGTGCCTCCTGTCATCATTAATGGACGTCTCTTTAAAATGACTGCTCAGAGGAGAGGAGTTCTCATTTCTCTAACCGCCTGCTGCTTCCCCTCCTCTCTCCTCGGCTCCCCTCCTCGGCTCCTCCGCTCGCATCTCCTGTGGGCGGGACTAAGACACGAGGATAGGAGGCGAGGAGGGGAGTCGAGGAGGGGAGTCGAGGAGGGGAGTCGAGGTGGGGAAATTGATGAAATGAGAACGGGCCAGAGTAGTGAGGGGTAAAAGGAGCAAACAACAGGAAACAACACAACAACAAAAAAAAACATGCATTAGGGGTTTCACAACTACCTATATTTACTAGTCGACAAGTTTTTCAAAATAGTAGTCGACTAGTCGACTAGTTGTTACGTCATAATAAAGACACACAAAGAGAGGTGTAAAACTGTATTTTGTATTGCAATGCATACAGTTACGTTACACACTGTAACAAAGCAGCATTTTAATTTGGGTTACATGCCGTTACATGGCTGATTAAATAAAAAACAGTAACTGGACTCACCAAATCTACTGCAAAAAACCTGTTAAGAACATAAATGCAACGTAAATCCAGTGCGCATTGCGCAACACTTTACTCGCTGTCAATGTCCTCCTCGATAACGATGTCCACCCTTCCAGGTTTTTTGGTTTGCGTTAAGGAAGACCAAAGCATCAACATGTGAGGGAAGGAGGCTTGACCGCTGTCGGGTGACAGTGGTGCCTGCCAGGGAAAACATCCGTTCACTTGGGGTGCTGGTGGCTAGCCAGGTAGCTCCTGGTGGCTAGCCAGGTAGCTCCTGGAAAGCTTGGCTAAACGGGGGAAGCGATTTGCGTTTTGTGCCCACCACTTCAGAGGGTTATCCATTGTGGGGATATGGGGTGTCTGCTGGCAGTAATCCCGTAGCTCATCCGCGCCACTGTTGACCCGTTTTTGTGCTAGTGGAGCACGCTCGTGAACTTTTAGTGCCGGAGCTAAAACTGAAACTGAAGAGCGCACAATTGCGGCGCATTTGCGCATAAGATGAGGACCCCTGAATGTCAGACGTGTTTTGTTGGAGCATTTTGCAGCACCTCAGCACCAATGTCGGCATCCTCCTCTCCCACATTTGTCTCTATTTTGTTCCCGACTAGTTGACTAGGGCCTACAGCGCCAACTAGTGGTAGATTTAGTCGACTAGTCGACTAGTCGATTAGTTGGTGAAACCCCTACCATGCATAAACATAACAATCTACATTTAGCTGCGTACATATAGATTATTCATTTTGACTGTTCACAGGTTGGTAAGGTCTTATCACACACCTATCCAATTTGCACGGGGGTTAAATAAATAGTGTATACACTGTATATATATAATCAGAGGTCATTTGGAAAAAAGCCAGTTTCAAATTGACTCAGTATGTTATTCCCCCCCCCAACCCCCTCAGGTCTGGATAAAGGCAGCCAGTACAGTTTCCAGGTGGCAGCCATGACGGCCAATGGAACGGGTCCGGCCAGTGATTGGTTCAACGCGGAGACACCGGAGAATGACCTGGATGGTAAGTGTGTGTGTGTGTGTGTGTGTGTGTGTGTGTGTGTGTGTGTGTGTGTGTGTGTGTGTGTGTGTGTGTGTGTGTGTGTGTGTGTGTGTGTGTGTGTGTGTGTGTGTGTGTGTGTGTGTGTGTGTGTGTGTGTGTGTGTGTGTGTGTGTGTGTGTGTGTGTGTGTGTGTGTGTGTGTAAGTGAGAGAGAGAAAGGAGTGATTTGTACAGCAGCATGTAAATACCTCCGCTCTCCCGACACACATAAATATTTAAGCACTTAAGGAATGAGACGGATAGATGGAGGGGAGATCTGCCTCGGGGGGGGTGGGGGGGGGGGGGGCGACAGCAGAGGAGAACTAAGTGCATTGCATTTCCATGTACCTTTCTGTATGATCAAAAGACAACATTTAGATTTTTTGTTAAAATAACACTTAACTATTTTATTCATAAATGCTTTGAGTTGTAAAAAAGGACCACATTGCCTGCTGTTGAGTTGTGTGTATGCTATTTCACCTTTATATATACAGTCTATGTATTTAACCTACAAGATATAAGACACGCCTTTAAACTGTCACTTTTCTTGAACATGAAGAAATTATTTAAAAAAATTATAGTACTGATTAATATATTTTACAATAACATAATTCCTTCTGTCTGCACCTATAAGCGGAGGCTCCTTTATCTAAAGACAACGAATGCCAATATAGAAAACACAGATGGAATATATATAAAATATGTATTCATAATTGTATTCAAGGTTTATTATCTCATTTTAAATGCCTAATAAACATGGTTAAATTAGATTTTTAGAATAAAGGTCTGATAAGTTTTCAGATAAAGATGTATTGGAAACTCTACTGCCACCTTCAGATCAGGCGACCAGTGTTACAAATGATATTGTTCTGCAATAATAAATCAGTAATTGATTTCATTTAGTTTACTTTAAAACCACCAATCTGAGTCTCAGAAGCAGACGGTCCTGGTTAGCAGGACACAGCTGAGATAAGAAACAAACACATCCATGCTAACTGTGTTTCCGAGGGAGACTCAATCTCATTTCAATGGATTATCACTCAATAAAGGGAAATGAAGCGTCTCCCCGGAGGACTAAGAGCACGCTAATCTGATCCAATCTGATGCTGAGAAAACTAACGCAAAGGGTCAGGGCTTATTAGGGTTTAATACACAGCTAAGAGGGTTAGCATCAGTTAGCCACGGTTGCTCTACCTGCTAGTGCTGCTGCTAACAACTGGAGGTGGAGGTCTTCTTCTTTGGAGTGACGTTTCACTCTTGGTGTTTTTGCAGAGAGTCAAGTGCCCGACCAGCCCAGCTCTCTGCACGTCAGGCCGCTGCCAAACAGCATCATCATGTCCTGGACCCCCCCCCTCAGCCCAAACATCCTGGTTCGAGGTTACATCATCGGCTACGGAGTGGGAAGTCCCTATGCCGAGACGGTGCGAGTGGACAGCAAACAGAGATACTACTCCATCGAAAACCTTGGTGAGGGGTGATGAGGAGCTGATGGGGGGAAACAGACCTGTGACCTCACACAGAGCTTGGTGGAGGGAACTGCTTACCTAGCTCCATCAAACAACTCTGAAAAAACTGTAACGTTGACTTTAATTAAATGCATTATGTCAACAGATTTCAAATAACTTTATTAGGTTAGTTGAAAGCACCTAATATGTTTTATTTAAACTTGATATTATTGCTTTAAACTAACCTAATACAGTTATGTGTTATATATATAATACATTTATTATAGTCAACGTTTCAGTTTTTCAGTTAAGGAAAACTTTGAAAAGTGCACACTCTTCTAAACAGTTCTAACAGTATAATGTGGTTGAACATGTAGGGAAATAGGAATAGGTTATTTGACCTGATTTGGACTTATTTCAGTGGACTCTCCTACAGCAGGTTGCCCTCACAGGGAACATGTGCTGAAGATGAATCCCTGAGTTCCCGGAGGCTCATTTCTCCATCAGTCAAAGCCATTGGTTTTTGAACTGTCCACCATCAGCACCATAATAATAGATCATCCATGAATAAACACATCCAGTATACTTATCAACACCACATATTTAATATTAGCTGCCCCCAGAGATCCAGCTGCACATCCTGCAGACAAAGTGCCAATATTGACTCAGCGCCTCCCTGTTCAAGTCATTCATTATGATAATGAAATTCCCATTTAATTACCATCAATAATTTAAAGAAATGTAATAAGAAAGCTGCTTGAGGTGGAAATCTAATTATGAAAGGACCAATAACAGAAAACATCCTCCCCAGTGAGCACAACAAGCAATCTGCATGCCAAAGAAGACAGTGAAGAATTGGTGGGATTTTCAAACGCAGATGAAAAGTCCCATCTGAGGTCTCATAATGGAGTAATGAAAAAATAAAATGTGGCCGATGCATTGCACACATGGATTAAGTGCACGTATGTACACGACATTCATAATTCATGGTGATTATTAATTCATGTGTGAGGCGTCTGGGGAGTGCAGCCGTGTTGGTTTAACCGATGTGAGGGTTTGATGCTACATGAAGAACACATGCAGCATCATCAGGATGCATGAGCATCAGCTCAGACGTCTCAGTCAGAGGGTCCTCAGGGACACAGGAAGTCCTCATAAGACAACTCACTACTGTCACTTCCTTTAACCTGGAAGAAACAACTCTCTGTTCCCAAGAAATTCATAATGACACAATGGAATAGTAATAAAGCACTGAAATATGCTCTATTAGAAACTCAAATTATTAGTATGAGTGTCTCCTTTAAAACTCAACCACTGTTATTTACCAGGATTTAGTCATGTCCATCAGTTTTCCCAAAAAGTAACAAATATATTTGGTAAGAAAATCTTAATAAAATGATTGTTTTTTTGTTTGTTTGTTTGTTTTTTGTTTTTTTAACACTTTATTTTTGAAAGTTTTCATTACAAAGAAAAATCATATAGAATGTCATTGAGCAGTCAGATACATACTGTAGATGCAACAGTGCACATTTAAACCAGACTGCCAAAAAGCAGATCAAATATACCCCCCCCCTACCCCAGCATGAAAGACAAATGAGTAAATGTAGACGTTCTCACAGTTGACACACAAATTAAATAAATAAAAACATACAAAGCAAACGACAAACAAAAAGACAAAATACAAAACTTACAATATTGCTTTAGAAATGGTAGTAGCCCAGATTCAGCAACACTCAAATCTATACACACTCTTCTTTAAAGAGTTAAGTCCAGCTTGCACTTCTCTACGTGTGTGATCAATGGCTGCCAGGCCTTATAACATCTATCAGTAGATCCCTTCAGAATGGACCGGATTTTCTCCAGATGCAAACACTGCAACTGAGGCCTGTACTACGAAGCAGGATTTTCTCTTAGCCGGCTGACTTCAGGGAAAACTCTGGCTTTCTGGTCCTACGACGCTGGTTCACTTCTTAGCCGGCTAGATCTCCATGGTAACTTATGCTGAGCGGCTAGCCTGCTCCAGAGCAGGTTAGGTTGCAGGCTAAGAGATCAACTCAGTGAAAGCACCGCCTGCTGACCAATCAGAGCTCCGTGTGCGGAGTTTAAAGCGATCAATTCATATTACAGGATAGAGGAAATACAGAAAAACTGCCGTTGCAGGAAAGACGGCCGGCAAAAATCACCTGACTGTGTGAACGTGAAAATGAATAGAATATCCCCTCCCATCTTCAGAGCAATCTGACTATTATAACATTAGCGTTAAGAAAGCTTACTTAAATATCTGCCACGACATAAGTAACCGGATCAGAGTAACATTAAGTACAGTCCGCGGCACTGTGAGTGCAGACGTCGATGTGTCCCATTATCATTCATATCATATCACATCATAATGTATCATATATTTCCTTATCTGAGTCAGCTGAGCCGTATCTGGCCGTGCAACACTCACAGTGTCACATACTGTATGCAGAAGTATTATTTTAAGCAACACATTAAGTTGACGAAACACTTGAGTCAAATGTAATGAAAGTCAGATCGTGTCTTAGACGGGGCAGTGATATCATAAACCTGTTAATGTACGCATTCAAACACTTTTTCTTTTACCAGCTGTATTCACCTTGCAGGTGCAGCTATGTGGCTTTTATCCTGGATAAAGTGTTTAAGTCATGGATGTTTAAAGTTTAACTTCTTCATATTTGACTAATATTAAAGTTCACTTTTCATTCAGGAAGTATGACGCTGCGCTGTCAGTACGCTTCTCCATGTTTGTGATTGGTCGAATGCTCCAAATACCACCCCTTTCATGTGAACGCGCACCTAACTAGATAGGACACGGCTGGCTTGAGCGATCCACTTGATAACCAGCGTCGTAGTACAGCTTAGCGAGAGCGCGTATGTTTTGGATTGGGCCAACCGGCTAACTCAAACATATCCAGGTTAGGTTGAACCGGCCTCGTAGTACAGGCCTCAGGTCTCTAATCCAGTGAGTATGGGTGGGTGGTGATTCATCCTTCCATTTAAGAAGAATTAGTCGTCGAGCTATCAACGATGCAAAAGCAATGGCATTTCATTTATATTTTGGAAGAATAAAATGATTGTTAACAGGATAATAGACAACACTACAGAAGTCTGGAAGAAGACACAGTAAGCCTTGGTTAACCTTTGACCTTTCTTTCGATTGGTCTCTAATTAATTAATTAATTGGCTAAACATTCAAATATATATCCATGTATAAAGAATGGAGTACAATTGAAAAGTAAGATGAATTTAGAAATGATCTGACTTCTGAAGTCTTCTGAATCCTGTGATGATGGTGTGCTGTGTAGTATCTGCTGATGTCATGTTCAACCCTTTGTGCTTCTCCTCTTCTCCTCTTCTCTTCTTCTCTCTCTGTCTCTCAGAGCCCAGCTCGCACTATGTCATCTCCCTGAAGGCTTTCAATAACGCCGGAGAGGGAGTCCCTCTGTACGAAAGCGCCGTCACACGATCTCTGACAGGTACACACACACACACACACACACACACACACACACACACACACACACACACACACACACACACACACACACACACACACACACACACACACACACACACACACATACACACACACACACACACACATTTGAGTTTGCACAAGAACACTGAGTACGCTGGTTCATCCAACTACATGGAATGATCTGACAGAGAGGTGGAGTGAGGACGGGGCTTTTATGGAGCAGTGGCTATAGTTTAGTTTTTATAATCAGTTGTTTTCCTTAGCTACAACATGTGGTTGTTAGCTTAGTCACCAGGAAAAAACTATTCCCAGTAGCTGATGCTTGTCACGAGTGGCTGGCAAAGAGTTGAGTATTATTATTCAAGGCAAATAAATGCAGGAATATGTCCTCCTATTTACGTTCAATAAGATTATCTTGACCCCACTCCATTAGCAGCAGCAGTATAACTAGGATTAGCTTTAGCAATGCAGCAGTGTTAGTAGCAGTTGTTGCACAAAGCTACGCCTCTGAAGCTGGGACAGGCTGCGCTGAGCTACAGAGATGGAGAAGGCTCACTGCCACACTATGGGGAGAGATGAGACAGCTCAACATGCTCTGTGGCCGGAGAGGATCTCTGAGGCAGTGCCCTCTCTGTGGCATTTCAAATTGTTTCGCCAAATGCGTTTTAAAAAACTGCAAAAATCTGTGGTAATAGCTGCAGTGATTGCAATCACTGCAGCTGCTGGCAGCCTTAGTAATAGACTGGTGCTATTAGATCAAATAGGATAACATAAGATATCCTTTAATGATCCCTGTAGGACATTCAGGTTTCTGAGCACCAACAGCAACAAGGGTGAGACACAGGACAGGACAGATATTCATTCATACAAGGATGATGATGATAATAATGATAATAATAATAATGATAATAATAATAATAATAATTATTATTATTATTATTATTATTATTATTATTATTATTATTATTATTATTATTATTATTATTATTATTATTATTATTATTATTATTATAATAATAACAATAATAATAATCATAATCATATACTAATAACAATAATAGTGAAAGTAAAGAAGTGTAAGGAATAGAAATAGCAAAAAATGATGTACAATATTTAACAGTATCAATTCAAATTAATGTGTTTACATATATACAATGTATAATTTGTCCGGCAGTGGCTCAGTCAGTAGGGGCTTGGACTGGGAGCCCTAGGGTCGCTGGTTCAAGTCCCCGACCAGACCTAAATATCGAGTGTGGACTTGTACTTGGAGAGGTCCCAGTTCACCTCCTGCCCTGCCGTGGTGCCCTTGAGCAAGGCACTGGACAACCCCCCCACTCCCATTGCTAGCTGCCCACTGCTCCTGGTGCTAGGATGGGTTAATTGCTAATTGCAGATATATTCAATACATTTGCATGAACATTTGGAAGTGCAAGTGCAATATGGTGCAAGTCATGAGTACATACAGTGCAGGTTATTCCACTTTTTTGTATGGGTTTATGAGTTCTCATGAGGAGCAGCAGCAGTGATAAACAAATACAGATGTCTTGGTTGTTGGTACATGATGTATACTATATCTCCCAGAAGTGTGGAAGTTCATATTTATCATGTCTTTAGGAAGTTTGTCGGCTACTTGTGGTTTTGATTAGCTGAAAATATTAAAAATGGACAGTCTGTCAGACACTCAATCTGATCCAACAGCTGAGTCCTGAAATATTCATCCAGAGGAAAAGGTTCACACACCAGTCACAGATGTGTGTGTGTGTGTGTGTGTGTGTGTGTGTGTGTGTGTGTCACATGTGTATGAACTGTGGGTATGTGTGTATCTATTTATGTATGGAGTGTGTGATGCCTTACATCCAATGCTAGTACTGCATGTGTTAGTGTGTGTGTGAATGAGAGAGAGCCTCATTAGCTCTCCCTGCACACTATGGGCTGTAGAAGTGAGATAAATGAAACACATCCAACTCTCAGCCAAGTTTCATCTTATGAATGAAACATCCGGCTCTCCTCCACTCACCCAGCAGCCTGCGGATGATATAAATCCTTTATTACTCATAAAAAGTGTCACATTTCTGTGGCTTTTCAACGCTCATGATGTGATGATAGTCACATGGACACCAGAACCCCAGCGCTCACCACAGCCTCCTGACCTGCAGGACAGCAGGGTTTCATGGTGACACTTTTCAAAAAAGGTTTGTTTTAGCTCATTCTTGTTCTCCTGGAGTTAAAAGAAGAAGAACAAGAGGGAGTAGATAAAGGTTGAATATGGATTAAATATATGGATCCCAGACAGAGAGACACAGCAAAGAGAGAGGGAGAGAAACATTTGATGGATTTTAGTGGTTGCTAATTTAAAGAGAATGTAAGCAGCAATGGGAAATGAATGTTGGCAGAAAGAGGAAGAGATGGAGACAGAGAGACAGGACACATGGGGACAGGAGGAGAGGCGTGGGAGGTCAACAGGAAGTGGAATACTCTGGGACACACTGCAGGCACATGGTCAGAGATATCCAAATAAATTGCTTTGGATTATGATTATATGATTATTGTTCTTCCGCATTTTAATGAAGCAGTTCAAAATCATATGCTGCATGCAGTGGCAGCTGGTGCATTTTTCTCCAGGGGGGGGCTCTACCAAAATGTAAGCAAACTTATACACAAACTCAAAACACATGTCATATTTAGGGCTGTCAGTTGATATAAAAAATAAAAATCAAGTTTGAATAGCTGAAGGTCTTGTGATCATTTGAAAGTTGGAATGAAGTGTCTAGCTGAAAGTATGTGGAAGGAGAAGCATTTGGCGCAAGGTGTAGGAAAAGAGGATTTGAAGGCATCTCCCATTGACTTCCACTTCAAAAAGAGTTTAAAAAGCTGAATATTTCCCATCGATTCCTGAACAGGCTGAATAGTTTAATATTTGAATGGTTTCTGTAGCTGAAAATAAGCTGAAGTTATGGAGTGCCAAAGTATTGGCTGAAATAATAAGGGGAAGAATAAATAATCGAAGAACTATAGTGGAATGCTGTGGCACAGCATTCACACTAATAACCGAAAATACCAGCTCACTAAATCAAAACCGATCAAACCAACTACAAACTACTACGGCGGATTGGGCAGAGAAGGAGTCCGAGAAAGTTGCTCCCCCATGTGACGTAATATGACGCGTTTGACGTTAAAAAAAAGCAGTTTTTAGTAGCAGAGCTCAAAACGGCTCCTTTCCCTCTGAATTCTTGCCCTTATGTCTTGTCAAACATATCAAATCCTGCATTAACTTTTTCAATTCAAAGGTTAAGCATAAATCTAGTATAAAAAAAAAACCTGCAAGTTGCTCTTTAAGTTAAGTTAAGATAGAAAAGGTGTACGAAGCAAGCTGCAGCCTGGCAGCTGACATGGGGCCTTTCATAAAGTGGAGAGCTGTCATCACAGCCGCATCTCCTTGAAGTGCTAAAGGAACACAGTATCTGAACATATATGCAGTTCCACAGACACACACAGGCACGTGAGGAGTTCTATCCTGAGATATATGGTGCTGGAGTGGAGTTACTGTGACAGTCTGGAGTTGATACACTGAGACCCTGAGGGCTGAGGCAGAAACTAAAAGCCATTACTGTTCTGACAAGGTCATCCACAGTGACACACACACACACACACACACACACACACACACACACACACACACACACACACACACACACACACCACACACACACACACCACACACACACACACACACACACACACACACACACACACACCACACACACACACACACACACACACACACACACACACTTTTGGCTTGTTATGCCAGGACAGGCTGAATCCTCCGTCAGTTTACGGTGGCAGGCTGCTGGAGAGCTTTTTACGAGAGCTTTAAAAAACGTCTCGTTAACGGTGGGATTCTCGTTAATTTACTGCCTGGTCTCCGCCTGGCCGCCCACACACTGCAGAGACAGTATTCTGTCCTAACGGAGCTTTATTGTGATGCTGGACGAGCAGCTTAACCACGCCAGTCTGCTGCAGTGCCCCCCCGCTCCATCACCTCCTCCCTCCCTCCCTCCCCCCCTGCAGCTGGGCCTCTCTCTCCAGCACAGTTCAGTCTGACTCTCTTATGCCCCTTTCACACCAACGCGTTTTCAGCGCCGGCTCGGAGCTAGCGCCTGAAAAGTACCGGTTTTTCCTGTTCACACCGCAGCGGCGCCGCCTCTTAGCTCCGGAATCCGGTTCACTTCCAGCTCCAAAAATGTTTCGGTCTAGAAGCAAGAGCTTCGGAGCTAAGAGGCGGCGTCGCTTACGTCTCTCTTACGTTGAGGCATGCAGGAAACTAAACCCACCTCCCCTGAACATGGGTCGACTGAAGAGTCTCGTCATGCCTGCCTACAAGAAGTAGCGCTGAGCAAAGTGACTAGAAGACAACCACACACTTATAAAAAAAAACACACTTTATAAAGTCAGGCAACACTAACCAGGCTTCGTGTGATTCTGTTTATTTGTACCTTACTTTGACCATCCGTTCTCTGTTATTGATCATTGTGGAGAGCAGGCAGACGTTTTGTTTTGTATTATAGCAGCTATCGGATGGAATCAATACATGGGCTGTACAGGTTGTCATGTCCGACTATCACAAGTAGAATCATAATGAAAAATACGCCGGTAAAATGTGCCTGTAGAAAACGGCTTAGCAAGTAGTCAGTTTAGCTTAGGTTGCTATGCTAACATCACCCATGTTATACCAGAGAAACTTTCATAACAGCGTTGTGATGCCAAACAGCGTCAATTCAGACTGACACACATTCACTTAAGGGGAACTGGGGATATGTATCAGCTGCTTGTGTGACAGTCAGACAGTGAATACTTTAGAGCCGTGTGAGCTAACCCGGAGCTAACGGGAGAATAAACTCCCGTGGAAGAGCAGCCAGCACTGCAGCGGTCGGTAAATGCCGCTGAAACACATTAATAAACAATGAACCACGGCACTCTGGAGAAAAGTATAAGGTT